TCGAAGCAGATTGCCCAGCACTTACTGGAATCAAACCACAGGGTCATTATACGAATACACCGGCCCATCATACCAGTATTCACACATCGCTTCTATCGCGGATTTAGACTTGTTACAGCCCATGGATGTTTTCTTTCCCACGAACTGAAATGTTCCGTGTGATATTTTCCCAGTGGCAGTTATGAGTGAGAAAGTCGGTAGAGACCAACACATAAAAAACTGTAAGCATGCACAGTTCCATCAGACTTGCACAAATAAATGTGTAGATGGCCTGTGCTTACACGTGTACAGTACATATGGATATTGGTGTATTGCGACAATACCCAGCCAGCCAGCCAGCCACACATTCCTTGCACAAAAGCTATGCATTCCGAAAATCTGTTGTGACCAACCCAAAGCCCTTTCTCTGCATTTCAAAATTCTCAAAATAGTTCCCGGTTGGGTTAAAAGGAAGGTTGAGAGTTACCCTGGGTACCCGTACTGCTCTTTGTGCGCTTCATTGTGAGTGGAACTTTTGGCTTTGTCGCCATGGTGGTTTGTGGTCCGTTTTTGATAATGCTCTATTATTTGTTATCACTTTGATTGTGAAATCAGTATTGCTTGTGCATGCGTTAGGTTGTTTGTAATCATATTGAAATATTAAAACGTACAAGATTAAGGAATGGTATGGAAAATATCTTGTAATGGTGTCACGGTACTCAACACAGTTTTGAATATATTTTTGCTGCTTCATAGAGTATGATTTTACCAGATCCTTTTTAAATGAAGGGTTTTTTTAATGGCCATATGGATCATTCTAAAAAATAAAGGGTCCAAAAGTGTGACTTTTTGTGTCCCTGTTACACCTGACATGTGTAATTTGACACAGAAATATCCCCGAAATTGATTTCAAACTATTTCGATTTGTTTAGCAGGTGATTTGCATGGATTGGTCATTCATGGAAATTAGAGAATTGTTCTAAACTTACAAAATCACTTGTCATATGTGACAGGGACACAAAAACAATGGAACCCTTAATTATATGTAATAGAATGACCCATACACAAGTATATGTACACAAATTGGTTATGGTTTCCTTATTTATATGAAGTGCCGTGTTTAGTCGTTATCTTATATCAGTACATAAGTTGGAATAACTGATTTATTATTCTCAGTATTTGGTGTCTGATATGTCCATTTCAACATTTTTGAAAGACCCTGTAGAAGTACCGGTAGCCATCACAAGCCATACTTCTATTACGTATACATGTGGCTTAATTTTTTAAACTGTGTTTTCATGTTTGTAAGACCCTGGCATCAAACAAACTCATTTGACTTCAAAACATTTGATCAGATACAAGAAATTGTTTAATTCGTAATGTTGATATTCTGTAAGTGTGCATGTTACTCCATCAGTTGACAAACCACCTGCTGAGGTACAGTACCGGTAGGCTGCATGAACATAGTGGTCCACACAGTATACATATCATATGCACATATGCTTTGGACTTAATTATGCCAAAGTTTAAATACACTTACAATTTTGTTACTCGTCATGCATGTCAGTGTGGATACCACAGTGAACTTTGAGGTTTGTTGTGCGAGTACGTGATAATATTGAGACTGAAAAAAAAAAGACTCGTACAGTTCATATTGTCGTAGGTGTCTGTGAGGGTGTCAAACATGACAGTCTCTCTGTCTGGTTTCAATGCAGTGTTCCTTACGTCACCCTATTTTTTCTCTTGGATGCCACTGGGAAGTTTAGAGAAATTCGTGCACAGCTGAGTATTGTCTTGTCTTTTTACTAGGAAACTTCTGAGTCCTGTGCATGTCTTCCACCCAAATATGCAGCACAGAATTTCTGCTTCCTTTCGTTGCTCTTCAGTCGCTGTTCTTGGAACTGATCCAAGTTGTACACATGGCAGTGTGGACTTCCTGTTTTCACCCAAGGAAATATCAATTAATCACACCAAGTATATTGACATAGCAAAAGCTCAATGTTCTTGATATTCATATTTGTGATACCGGTAGGTCAGCGACCCAGTCTGGTTAATAACAAACGAGATATTTTGCAGTGCTGCATGGGCGAAGTTTGTGTCTAATTTCTGCTCCATTAGGAAGACTGATGAAATTAACAGAATATCCCAAACCTTAATGCTGGTGAACTGTATTGAACTTTTGCAAAACATTAAAAATTGAACAAATCTTCAAAAACCTTTGGCACTGTGTTTGATGGTTTGTAAATTTAAATTCAGTGATATAAAATGCAGATTAAAGTCAGTTCAGTAATTTTCAGTTAACATGGTAAACATCCACCACATGAAAAAGGAGGAAATGTACAGGCCTTGAAAATTGGCTAATTCCATAGATATAATGTCAGTATAACAGAAGAAAAGTTCCTTTCAAAGACGTTTGAATAGGTATTCATGGACCAATTATACTGGACTTTTTCTTTAGGTTACAAGTTCAGTTTAAAGGATCCAGGAAATGAATTTTTCTTAGAATCACTTTTTGTGTATCTCTGTATTCTTCCATGTATGAAGGCTGTTTGACATCTTTCTTGAGTTAAGTGATCTGAACGGTGCACTTTTTCAAACATAAAAAATTGACCAAGCATTTCTGGACAAGTGAGGGTGCTTTTGCTTTGATGTAAATCCAGGAAGACATGGTTCAGGTTGCGTGTTTTCATGTTCAAATTGTGAACCCCAAATTTGCTATCTGGGAACATTAATGTGAAAAGGATTTTTGCTGGATTATTGCCATATACTTAGACAGCAATAAATTGCCAAAGAAAATGAAATCTGGCATGGCAGTGGTTAAAAAAATCTAGAAATTTTCTGTGCACAGATCAGTGCAACATTGAGATTCAGTGCCTTGGATGATATCATAGTTTTGCTCATGAATAAGCTATCGGAATTGGCATAAAAACCAAAAAAGCATCAAAATATGGGTTAAACTTGCAAAACTAAAATTTAAAAAAAGGTTAATTGAAACCAAAAGATGCAATTTCAAGGGTTTTAGTAAAATTTATAAAATTATTTCTATCTCCTGGTTCGGTCAAAAATTGGCCCAGAATTTTTCATCAGCAGATTGAAAAGCAGACACAAGTGGTGTCTCTTGACATCAGAACATACAGGAGGGTAATTAGAAATTAGGGGTGCATTTTTGTGTGTGCCCTGGTCACATCTGACATATGATTTTGTAAGTTCAGAACACATTTTCTAATTTCCAAGAGTGACAAATTAAATGCAAATTACCTGCCAAACAATGGTAATAATTTGAAATCAATTTGGGTGATATTTTCATGTCAAATAACAAAGGTCAGATGTACTATAACAGGGAAGCGAAAATGTCACACTTTTGGACCCCTAATTTTTCAAATTACCTGTAAACATTTTGAAGATGCATTCAAGCCACTTAATCCTGCTTACTGGAGTCCTGGCATACATGTAAGGCCCACTAAAAGTCGATCATCTCTCCCCGCACCCTTGTCCTTTTTGAAACTGTAGCTTTGTTCTGTTTTGTGCAGTTACATATATGTGCTCTTGATAGGAGCAATACACCTGTTGATTATACATGTATGGAGTATGCTTCATGAAAACTAGAAATAGTTTCGAACAGATAGGCTGTTGGGTTTTGTAATACCCATCAGCTGTGCCTCATTTTAAAGATATTTGGTCAATGTGCACTTGACATGTGCGTAGAGCATTTAAAGGTTTGTTTATCTATTGATAATATCTGATATATCGATTTTGCTTTGATATCAATATGAATGAAACCACTTAAACATTGATGTCGATATATTGAAAGCGTCGATAAAATGAAAAGTGAAGCTGTAAACAGTAATATAAAGTAATTGTTGTTGTTACAGTGTATAGATGATGTAAATTTGGTCTTTTCATTTCTGGGCTACACACAAAGACCAATTACCATATACGTAAGAGCCAAGGTCTGCCTTCTTTCACCGTGTTCGCTCGAGCGTGGGTCAAGAATAATAGCTGAAAAGCGGGCTGAGGATCTCAATTTTTACGGCGTGTTTCAATGCGTCCCGGCATGAAGGGATTAAGAAGGCTGTACATTTAGCAGGGCACCTTTCCACACAAGAGAAAATGCATACACAAATATACTGTAAAATACCCTTGTGTCTGGGTACCAAACCTTATTGGTTCTTGCATATGGTTCACAGCAGAGCTTTGATGGCCGGAAGCCATGAAGTTTAAAGACTGTTTAACATGTGGCTGTGACCTAATGTTAACGAATATTGCCTGGTGCTTGTGTGTGTACTTTCTGCATATTCGTGTATGACACCAGGCAAGATTGTCAAGTGGTTAAGAAATAGCTGTTGCCAGAACTTGTATGACTGATGGATTAGAGTCCTGTGCCCTGTCTGCATACATGCAGTAGTTGAGGGTGAGGTATATTTACATATATGTTGTATTGTGGTGTAGCAATTTCATCAATGGTGATTGATTGAAGGAGGAACTTACTGTCCCGGGAAGCAATTAGCAACTAAACCAGGCTTTGGGCAAGTAAAATCACATCGTCAGATCGGGGACTGGCCAGAGTATGCCTGCCTTCACATTTGAATATAAAGTTCTGACTGGAGGTTGTTGGTGTCGTCAGAGGCTCTTTTGTTTGGGGAAGATTAAAAAAGCTCTCCAATTCCAGCAGACTTATCGCATGCTGCATGGTTAGGGGCCTAAGCCACCTAACTGCAAAAGGTGTTCAGCATTAAGCATGCATGATGCCATTGGTTTTGAGCTTGAAAACACATATTCTTCAAAAAAATTTGATATATTGGTATTATTGATATCAAACTGATAATATATCAATTTCGCCAATTATCTGTAATCGACCGAGCTTAGAGCATTTGCACGCTGTTCACGCACACACACCTAATGGCGTTGAATGTGAGATGTAATTTGCCTACAAAGATGGCATTCTATGAGAGGGAAGTTCTAAATGGATGAGAAATCTTTGTGCTGATAGCTGTTTTTCCCTTCCTGTTTTCCTTCTGCAGTTTGCAAGAAGAGAAAGCCCGTGGTCTGCCAGTTTGCCTTTCCTATTGCCGAAAATGCCCACAGCGCCCCCAGGGTAAGTAACAAATTATGAAGTTGATCCAGGCATGTGTGTAACATGGTTTGGAGGTCAAGGAGCGCATCATGTTTGCTCCTGAGGGTTGATCTGGCTTGTCTTGTTCCTGACCCCTCTATGAACAACGCCTTGCCAGGTGTTTAATGATCACAAATATTTAGTGAAAAGCAGGCAGGTGCATCTTTTTATGTCTGGTTTGAACATTCAGACAGAGAGGCATTGCTTTATAAAATTTTAATCGCTCATTTACAGAATGCGGTTATGAAAAGATACAGTGCATAAAATTTTTCTGGAGGAAATCTTTCATTTGTGAGCCATGTACTGAACAAACAAGGCACTATAACTGTATGAATTCAAACATGAATACGAAGTTACTGTCAACAAGGCAGGTTTGTTACTGTCAACAAGTCAGGTTTGTTACTGTCAACAAGTCAGGTTTGTTACTGTCAACAAGTCAGGTTTGTTACTGTCAACAAGTCAGGTTTGTTACTGTCAACAAGTCAGGTTTGTTACTGTCAACAAGTCAGGTTTGCTTTAGTACCTGTTGTGTAATTCAGAAATTATAACTTTACAGTATTTAACCTCGAAGTTTAGTTGCCTCATCTGAAAAGTGGCCTCAATAGACAAATGATTTTGACTGTTTGTATTCTCAAAATGGCATGATCAAAGCACTCACTTTAGCTCAAATTTGTGGTCTGTTAAATTTCCGATAGAAACATGACAATAGGGAGTATCTTTAAGGGTTGAGTAGCTGCTTGTTTGGAATGGTGCTCTCCCCCACTTGTCATTGAGCCAGTCTAGGAAGTGGTTTGTGGGTCTCAAGAACAGTGCAGTAAACATTGGTTTACAAAAACATCAGGGTGAATCACCTGAGCCCCAAAACTTGAAAAAGGCATTACCGGGGCGTATGCACAATTTGTGTATAGTTTCAGTATCTACTAAATATTTTTTTTTACGTTTTTAATTTATTTTGCTTATCAGCCCCTTCGATTATTTTTCATACATTTAGGTAAACCCATACTTTTATAGAACAATAAATATCTTCCATTTATTTGTTTTGCTCTTTGTCCTGTAGTTTGTAAATGTTTTTTTCCATAGTCAGTCACGGTTTATTTTGTACCAGTAGAATCTATTTTGTGGATCAACACAGTGTGCATAATAAATGATTCAACTGAAGTGGCCATGTAGCAAAACATGATAAAGGAGCTGTTGTAAATGTGTCTATAGTTTACGGTACATTTACATAAATGTATGTATGTCCTCACGGCCAATTAACCACCATCCTACCAGGCCTGGCATACACATACATGAATATGCAAAGTGCAACAGGTGTAGAAAGGCTGGAGGACATTGTGTGTCTAGCCAGTGGACGGCAGCCAAGAAACTGCCTATGTTTAGACATTTGTGGGAATTAGTCCCATTGAAAAATGCCACTGTCCAGTCCAGTGACTTTGAGGTCATTTGGCCTTGGGGATTGTCAACCAGTTGGATATTGCTGCACAGGGCAGGCAAGCCTTCCTTTGCCAAATGCTGCAGACTGATGTGTCTGGCAGGGATTCTAACCTAAAGGTGTACAGCCATGCTACAGTAGATTCCCGTTATAGCGCTCCCTGATATAACGCTCTTACCCATATAACGCTGTATTTTCGTTTCCCCAACTGCACGCCCATTTACTGTGTATATTTTTTGTGGTTATAGTGTTCCCATTTACAATGCTTTTAGGATATAACGCTCACGATTTTCGGCCCCCAGAATTATACAAAGCATGTAAAATGATCTTGGTTACAGCACTCTTTACCTATCAGATCAGGAAAATCAGATTCTTTGAAAATCAATGCATATGAAACTGCATGGCAAGGCTGCCGTGATTGGCGGGCCATCCTGGACACCTGTACCGGGGGTAGTTTAGCGAGTGCAGACATGCACTGCGATGTCCATGCAGCGCGGTCGCGAACATGTGCTCACCACGGTGAGTCGCACCTGAGTAGCTTGGCTGTGACGACATTGTAATGATTATTTTTGTGCTTTTTATTTTTTCTCGTGATGTAGTTTGGGACACATGTAATCAACATTGAGATACTACACGTAGTATTTTGTTACCTAAAGGTTTCTTTGACTGATAAATCAAATCAGCCGCATAAATTGTTTGTGTATCTTCGTGTAGCAAATTTCGTCTTTTCAATGATTGTGTTTGACATGACATGTCGGATCTGTGTTCACTTGGCTTTTCTAATGACATATAACTTTCTGTGGTCACATGGTCATTGGGAAGGGTCAGCGATTGGACTGTCCATGAATGGGTACGCAGTAGCACTCAGGATGTCGCGGTGGGTGAAGATGCAGTGCGTTTGCTGCGATGCAGCATGCACAAGGTCCCATGGCGGTTTCTGAAGAGATTTGGTGTGTTTTTTATCGGTGTCATGAAAACGTTGAGATAAACGGATACAAGGCATATACTCCGAAAATTACGGCGCATACATCTGCCAATACGTGTACATGAAATTCACATACGTGACATGTGTAGATATGTATATATACATGTACACAGAGGCACATGTTGCGCGTCCATTCAGTCCGTCATAACGCTGTGTGGTTATAACGCTCACTTCTGTCAGGTCCCCTTGAGAGCCCTATAATGGGATATCAGTGTTACAGGTGTGGTGAATGCACGATGGATGCCTGGTCACCACACAGGTTACTGGCCAACGTTCTGAAAACTACTTGTACCTTTGCCACCTTTCATTCTCAGCAAAACAGACTGGGCACCAGTCAGACTCGTACTCTTTTGTACAACATTACACAGTACTCCAGGGAAGTCATTATGTCAGTGAGGTCAAAGGTCCGTCTTGGCACAGTAAACCAGAGCATGTGCAGTACACTGAATGCAGTACACCTGTAGCTTCCCACTCCTGTATCATCTGCACTTATATTTCCGTTGTTGCAAAGCTGTGAACTTCGTTGTTTTCCCGTTGTGAAATTGGAAATGGCATGTGATGTGAAATTGTATGTTTACAATCGTCATCAAAACAATTTACTATTGCTGAGCAAAAATGAAGTCAAATATTTTTCGGGAAAAAATAATCAACTACAAGCACTCGTTCACAATATATGGCCAATCTGATTTTTGTGCATGGGGCATAATTCGTCAGCAGGGTGTTTGAGGTGACTCAGGTCTATCTAACATAATACTTTGCTGGCATTGATCTTGACTATACATGTATGCTAAGCAATTTTAAGAAAATAACCCCTGAGCTGGAAAGATAAAAGGTAGCTTTTATGGTAGTTCTGATTCTGAATTAGTTTTTTTTTCTTTTTTTCTTTACTGACTGAATTGGCCTAATCACTCTTGTTAATCCTAGCCACCGATGCCCTTTATCAGAGGATACACTCTCAATCCTTCAAAATCCTCAAACTGCTCCCATGAAAAGATTGGGTACAGCCATAGTCCTCCAAAATCCTCTGGTACTTCTTGAATATGTTCTGTGGAGGGGTGCCCACTGCCTCAATCCTTCTAAATCCTTCAGCAATTCTTATTATGTTGAGGCAGTGTGAATGGTATCCTGGAGCAGTATGGAGGGTCTCACATATAATGTGGGTGTGAATTTCTGCATGGCTGACCGTAAACAACACAAGGTCTAACTCGCAAGCTTGAGACAATGCATCCTTTGCAATCAGCAATGCGATTGTAGCCACGCAACCTCAATCCAATATCTTCCAAAACTGCCTGAAGGATTTTGAAGGATTCGGGATGGTTAGGGTTGAGTATCATTACATCTGAAGGGGACACTGTTGTACTGGTATGTACATTATACATGTACCTCCATTGGTTGGTCTTAAACTTTTTCTGTTCCATCAGTGTCCCAGAGCTGTCACACTGTTGTGTATGAAATTTTCCTGTTGAAAAGTTATGTCAGCCCCAAATCCATGAAATTCCCAGGCAGTGTTGTCAAAAGAGGAAGGGTTAGAGACAGAGAAGAAGTGCTGATTTCAAGAGGGGAATTCAGTACCACAGCTTTTAGGTTCGTGTTGTTCTGTATTGTGCAAACTTTTTGTTGGAAAAAAGACTGAAATTGACAGTTAACCTCATTTCAGTTGTAAGGACACACACCAAGATGGTGGTATTGTTGGGTGTGGTTTTAATGGATGTGATTTGACGTATCGCTGTTGGTTTTGTTTGTGCCTATTGAGGGTTTTGTGGATTTTTCCTCTTTCAGGCTGTTGTCCTTGAGGGCAAGTATTGGAAACGAACTCTGAGTACCGTGATCCGGGAATACCAGAAATGGCGCATCTTCTATCGGAAATTACACCATTCAGCCTCACACGATGGCAGGCCAGAGGTACATTAATTTCTTTGGATTTGTTGCAGAAGAAATATTAACCCTTATCTCTGAGGCCCTTTCAGCGAGGATGCCACCTCAGCCCTTCAAAATCCTCCAACTGCCTCCAAGTAAAAACCGGATACAGCCTTAATTCCATTATTTTCTTGAATGTGTTCCCTTGAGGGTCAACAACCACCCTCAAAATCCTCCAGTAATTACAGTCATTATGCTGAGGCCCTGCAAACGATATCCGGGAGCAGCGTGGATGGCTTAAAATCACTCTTAGGCCTGAATTTATGCACGACAGAGCGTCAACAACACAATGTCTAACCGAAGACCTTGACCCAGTGCCTCCTTTGCAATCAGCTACACTGTTGTGCCACTCAGCCTCAATCCTCCAAAAACCTCCAGATCTCCCAGAGGACTTTGGAGGATTTAGAAAAGTTGGTGTTTTAAGAGGGAAGTTGCTTGCTACTCTAAAATTTACACCAGCTTTATCTGTGGCAGTTGCGTCGGGGGAAAACAATGTTCCATCAATTTGCATCATTTGTAGATTTAAGCGTAAGGTTGCAGTCCGCATAGAAAAATCAGAAATTAACTTTGTAGTTGTGGTAAAACAATATTTTTACCATCCAGTGATAAAATCAAAGGATCATTTGTGATTTTTGTAATTATTTCTTCAAACCAACGATGCATTTGTCCCACTAACAGGTTTTCGACGAGGCAGGGTTAATCCTCGACAAAGTGATCGACAACTTTGGCTCGAGCAAGTCCCCATCGCCAACACCAATGATTCTTGATGAGGAAACCTTGCTGTCGGAATTCAACGACACCCTCTTCTCTAGTCTCAGCCAGAATCAGTTCCCTTTCCCCTTGCCTCGGGAACTCTGTAAGTCACCTTTCTTTTTGTTTAGTTCACAGAAATAGCAGCAAGTTTTTTTTTTCCCCAAGTCCAATTCAAGTGACAAGTCATTTTGTTCAGTGTCAAGTCAAAACACAAGAGTATTTGTCTAAGTACCCGTCAGTTTTCACATTATTTATCCTAGTTGCGCCTCAGCAGGGTAGACCAGGTGTGAAGTCAGAAGTCAGAGCCATGACCGGAACAGACTCTTAGTTTGATGAGGTTCGACTGTAGTTACAAGTCAAGTCCACGTCACAGAAATAGTGACTCCAGCCAACTGGAGTCCAAGGCACATGACTCAAGTCAAAGCTCTGTTTATCATGTCCTACATGTAACTCTTCTATTTTTTGTGGAGATAACAAATGTAACACTGTGGAATAACCCAGAAACACGTATTTCATTGAGGATATCCAGCCTTTTGTAAAGTAACAGCGGCTAGGTTTTTTTTGGTCAACTCAAGTAATTGAGGTGCCTGCACCTGTTGTTCATCTGGCTCAAACTAGCCAGCCTACCCCAAGCAAGCAAGCTTACTTGGTGGTCAAGTGATGAGACATCTGTACTAGTAAGCAGGGGGTGCTGAGTTTGAATCCCATCTAAGTAAGCTTGTGAATATTTACAGGCCCGCGAACAACACCCAGTGTTTTTAAACATAAATCGCTGAAAGGCCAAGAAATTAAGTTCAGGATTCTGCAGTTGACATCATGGGAATGTGCAGCAACAGTTAACCCTGTTTAACAATGCACTATAACAATTGTGACCCGCTCTGCAAAAAAGGGTAACAAGTCGCGCAGTGCCAAAACATGTTATGGCCTGTTCTAGTTGGAGAAGGCAAAATTTCTTTGAAACGTGATTTTGTGTTTTTCCTTTAATAGCTTCTGTAAGATTTATATTTTCAGAATTTGTGACTACAAACATGGATACTGATGAATAAAGATGAAAAATTGATCATTCAGTAGGAAATCCTACACAGCATTGTGTTTCCAAGCGCTACACTTTCTGAGCTTTTTCTCGAAAAGTGCTTTTATTGAATCCGAAAATGTGGACATACAAATGTCCATATATCTCCAGAATGCAGTGCACTACATGGGCCATTCATGTATCAAATCGTAGTTTTTGATGTACATAATCCAGCCGTATTAAAAACTCATATCCTGAATCCGGCGACTTATTACCCATTTTTTTAGAGCCGATCACAATTTACCACAGGAGAGTCATGATAACGGTACCATTTTATATTTTGTTGTTACCAGTTCATGTGGGAGTCAACCCAGATATCATCCAGCCTGGTCTCATTCAGCTGCAGCCCAACTTCCCGGAGGCTTTGGATCCTTTTCCCGGTAAGTAACCACCACGCCAAGTCAGGGAACCGCTCTGTCTTGACTGGGAACGTCCACAGACTGCTTCAGTATCTCAGTTGGGATCTGGGGCCGGAGAATGGGCCGCTTGGTTATTTTCTCCAGTGAGCTCTGGTGCCAGGTCAGCAGAGGGCAAGTTGGAATGTGCAGTAGGTTTGGACCAGAGGTCAGTCATATTTTGACCATGGAGTATGTGTATCAGTACTCCTCTCAAGTGATCGTGCGTGTGGTCGAAAACCATTTCGCAAGACGTTGTCGTCATTTACATTTCCCCACAGGTTACATTTCTGACTGCATTTCGATGTACCTGCCATCTCGCACAATTATTTTCATGTTAATGGTTCTCTCTTTATGCACAATTTCACAAGATGGCTTTTGATAAACATTCCCTAAGATCTGGTTCCAAGTGGTCACCCATTTGAAGTGAATAGTTTAATATATGTAACCCAAGGTGAAAGTCTAGTCAGTTCTTTCTTAACTCTTAATTATTTCAAGCTCTGAGCTAAGCACGACAGTTTTCTTGCTTGTTTCTAGTAGCATCATTACCACTATTAATCTTTGGTTGGATTTTTGTATTTTGTGAGCAGATACGAATGTGAGGCAAGCCAATACAAACAGTGGTTCCGCAGCCCAGGGAACGTTTATCTTCTCTGGCAATCGATTGCAGCAACAGGCACAGGTAATGGCCAAACCAGCCACTAAAAACAAACAACCCCCCGAAATGTTCCCCAATATATACTTTACTCATTTGACTTATACATTTGGAGCTTGACATGACCTGAAATGTTCGCCCGTGTTGTAAATTAATCATCGTCAAGTTTTTCCGAAGATGCATTTTTGTGGTTCAGAGAGAAATGGTAAACATTTTGTGAACAGTATATTTCTGTGGAGATTTGCCCTTCCAAAGGTATTAAGTAAGTACACTCTCATATCAAAACCTGAAAATGCACATTTTTATCAACACTTTTGTGTTCCTGATGTGGTACAGTCACTGCTGACAAATGAAGCCGACACTGCAGCAATCACAGATGCGTCTACCCTGTTGCAACAACAGCAGCAACAGCAGCAGCAGCAGCAGCAGCAACTTATCCCTACCTCAGAGACATATGAGGACACCATCAATCAGCTGGGTCATGCACCGATTGATGTGCCAGCTATCAACCAACAGGATCTTGCCATGCAAGGCCAGACGGTTCAGGTGCACCGACAAAACAGCCTCCAACAGTCGCTGCTGCAGCAGCCAGAGGCAATTCAACAGCAGATTCAGCAGCAGTCCTTGCAGCAGCAAGAATCGCTTCAGCTGCAAATTCAACAACAGCAGCAACAGCAGCAGGAGACACTGCAGCAACAGCTTCAGCAACAGCAGCAGCAAGAGACACTGCAGCAACAGCTTCAGCAACAGCAACAGGAGTCACTGCAGCAACAGCTTCAGCAACAGCAGCAGCAGCTGCAACAACAGCAACAGCTGCAGCAACAGCAGCAACATCAGATTCAACAACAGCAGCAGGAGTCAGTACCACAGCAGATGCAGCAGCAGGCTGGTAACACAATCACACTGCCGCTGCTGCCTCAGGGTGATAATGGCACTGTGACACTGAACAATATCATTGCTGCAGCCTCCTCACTGCAACAGCAGCAGCAGCAGCAGCAGGTGGTCACGTTGCAAGTTGGCATGCAGCCTGCTGAACAGCTCCAAGCATCGGTGGCAGGAGTGGGACAAACAAGTGCTGCTCAGGATCAGACTAATAGGAGCAATGTAACCATCAACCAGTTGACACAGCAGCAACAGCAGCTTTTGTCTGGACTGAATTTCATTTCAGTGGATCATATCGTTCAGCAGCAACAACAGCAACAGCAGCAGCAAAACTTGACTTTTCAGAGTTTGCTGGCAAGCACCCAGAGCCAACAGCAGCCTTTGCCTCTGGGAGCAAACCCCCTTTCTGTCGATGACACTCAAGCAGCCTTCAAACTGCTGCAGACTGTAGCCACGCAGGTGCCAAACCAGAACCAACCACTGCTCTTGCAGCAACAGAAGCAGCCACAGCAACAGCAGCAGAATGCAAACATTGGCCAGATAACTGCTATACCCGACAAGCCCGTGGCCTCCCAGGTATTCCAGCAAAACATGATCACATCCAACACCATCATACAACAGCATCCTGCGCAGCAGCAACAGATCAAGGTACGTCCAGCGTTATCCCAGCAACCTGTACCCATCCACCTCACGAGGGCCCATGACCCCCAAGACCCACTCCCTGTCACCAAAAAAGCTGCTGCTTCCAAGGCCAGCTCTTCTGTCAAGATCTCTCAGATGGGAGCCAAGTCAAAGACGCAAGTGATACGACCGAAGCAGCCGGCTAAGATAGCCCCTGCTCCACCAGCTCCTCCAAGCTCCAGCATCAGTGGAAGTCTAGCCAGCAGTGCTGCTCTGCTAACCCAGCTGCTGACACAAGGTACGTCGTCTCTGAACAACATTCTTGGAGTTAAATGCAGTAATAAAAAATGTCTTAACTTGATTAAAATCCATCCTGCATGCCCTAAAGGCTAAGGCCATTAGGGTTAAGGAAATTTTGATCAACACTTGATGGAAATTACCTGCAAAATTATACAATCTGAACAATTACCAGGCATGTCTTTCTGGAGATTGCCTCGTGTGGTGCAGTCGCTTCTCAAGATCTCATGGTATTTAATTTAATTTCTGCCCTAATCCACCATCTCGTACCTATGACAGCTTATTGGAAAATAAGCTTCTGAATAGGAATACTGTCCAACTGGCTTGAACGAGCACCTCATAATTTTGTCCGATGAAGAATAGATTCACTGTTGCAATAGTCTCTGCTTATACCTGGGACTTAAGGATGCGACCCAAACTTGTCAACTGAATGGAATGGAAAGGCCCTTTGTGTGAGATTCAGCAGTCATACTGTTTATGCCAATGTCTTCTAATGCAGGAAGCATCCGGTCTCCCAGTTCCTCCGATATCCTGTCAGCTGCATCCCCTGGGAACACGGTCATGTTCCAGCCGGTGAAGACGGAATACCCAGACACCACAGCGCAGCAGCAGTGCACGGTAAGAAGGCGGGTTGGGGAGGAGGGAAGGAATCAAGCAGGACCAGCATTGTATTTGAGTTTTGATACTGAGTGTTGGGAAGTAAGCGGCTGTTCGGGGGGGGGTAGACTTCATCTTGGGGCCTGACAGAGCAGCGTAATCAAGTCAGCTGTTGTAGTGTGAGTGGCTTGAGAAAATTGCCTAAATGCGCTTCCGCTGAGCACAAGACAACACTGTTTATATTACGGCAAAGTGGACAGTGTTGCAGATGAGGGTTTGCAACATCACTACAAATCTTGAGATTTACAGTGCAAATTTGCAAGCATTGGATGCCTCTGGATGGTTCAATACATTCACATTCACTAGCATGCTGAGCTTGTCAAACCTTGAAACTGGAAAGATCAGTTGGTATCCTGGAGAATATTTAGTTGAAGAAGTAATCAATCATGAGCTTTCAAAGTATGTGGAAGTTGCACGAGTTCTGTTGATTTTCACAAAAAAGTTTCTAGGTCTTGCGGTGTGACACTAACAATCTGATTGATTGACAGATGACAGACTTTACTGCCAGCGTCCTTTCGTCCCAGTCAGTGTCAGTCTCTAGCACCACCACTTCAACAACTTCGTCATTCTCTGCCATCTTGTCCAGCGGGGAGAATTCGGCCGGCGCTGGCCCGAGTAAGTTTAAACCTGTCATTTCTTCCCCTCCACCTCAGTCTTGCATCCCTGACCCTGTTGTCAACAGCGCATTTGCGGCATCTCTATTACACCGGTGGCCTTTTAGGAAACTTTCCCTCATTTGAACCCCCTGGCACAAGCACGTCATCTTTCAGTTAAAGTGTAAAGCACTGGGTTTTTTTTTACATGGACTGCATGCAAGAGAGCACCCTCACTGATGACAAAGAGATAGGCCGGGCCGACACATTTGGACGAAGCTTCAGTTGTGTGCCTTATGCATGCAAACCTGATATGCAAGGTTTAATTCCTCAGTGCCAACAATGGACCTGTGACGTGATGACGTCATGCTTCGCTGATGTGTACACTTTCCTCTGGCAGTGAGGCAAGACGTGATCCATGAAACCCCTGTAGGAAAGCGCACATAAAAACAAAGCATGACTGAAGGAGGGTTACAGAAGCATTTTCCTCTCCAGATAATTTGGATGAACCTGACCCGTTATAACAAATTTGCTTTCAGGTTCTGTGGTTTCTCGGCCTGCCTCCCCAGTGTTCTCCGTTGGATCCTCTGCATCTCTGTTGGAGGTAAGCTTCTGGATCTGTTCCCCGATGGGGTTTTTAAGAGACTCTAGTGAGATTGAAAGCAAAGCGTAATTCTCTATTAAGATTTAAAACTTTGTGCTTCGTGCACCGGTGAAGTCTTTAAAGACTCACTCGTTTTTCTCTGTTTCATGCGCAGAGGAAAGACACGCACATTTCTGCAGAACAGAAGAGAAGGGTGAACATCAAGGTAGGTTCTGGGTCAAGTAAGCTAAAAGGCTTGTCTATGATTTAGCTCGGGTATATTCCACAAAACTGCTTAGTCTGGAAATCTACTAAGTGCAAAAATATACGCTTTGCGAAAACAGGTTACCAACCGAAAAGTTAGGAGATTTGCATTTGTTATGAGGGGTGCTCTGTTAGTTTCCGCCCAGTGCTTGAATTTGGTTAGCATGATTTGTTGCTGTTCTGTTAAATAGGGTCCAGTCTCTGATTGAAGCGGGATACGAACAGGGGACTTTTAGAAGGGCTTACCAGCTTTCCAGCTCCACCTGGACAGTCTCCCAATAGGCTTAGGCACTGATGACATCATACTTTGTTCACATGTGCACTTTCCTTCAGAGCCAATAGGGCCCATGATCCTCTGCGCACCAATGGAGCACCATATGAAAGCACACACAAACAAATGACCCCATCACTTGATGCCTTTTGGTCACTAACATAAATAAGATTATTAACAGTCCACTGAGTAATTCTGTCTTAAGAGTTGGAATGCAACCATGACAACCAAAGTGCACAACCTCTCTTCTTTTCAAAATAGAAGCAGTATTTCTATCTGAACATTAAGATAAGTGGCATTTTCTAAATGAAGGGTAAATTTCTTTCCACGCAGCATATTTAATAAGTCTCTTTTTTTTTTTTTTTTAAAATCTTTTGCAGTCTGGCTTTGACACGTTACACAAGCTTATACCATCTCTCAGCCAAAATCCCAATGCTAAGATCAGCAAGGCAGCGATGCTGCAGAAAGGTATGTTTGAACCAACTGTGAGGTTTGAAAAATATCTAGAACAATCGCTGTGCTCTTGCACAAATCATGTCATATTTTGCTACTCGATATCTACCCCAGAAGTGTCAAGATTTTACTTAGAGAGGAAATGGATTACCTTAAGATGCTAATAGGAAGCCTGATTATGTTTTCTATGTTAGATTTTAAAGGAAAATCCTTTAACCCTAACCGTGCTGAACCCAACAAGGTTATGCAGGATTTCAATTGTCCCTAAAGGGTTAGGGTTAACCCTAACCATGCTGAACCCAACAAGGTTATACAGGATTTCAATTGTCCCCAGGGGTTAGGGTTAAAGCCATTTTAGGTAGGGACTGGGAAAATAGTAATTTGTGTCAACCAAACGTTTAGCGGGAATGTCAAGAGAGTACCTCTTCGTGAGACCCCAAAGGTCTCTCAAGCTTAATGAAGACTTTGCCATCCAAAAAAACCTCACTGAATAACATAGTTGTAGGTTTTTCCACTGCCACCAAGTGTCTGATGACGCCCCCCTCCTAACAGTCTAACCTCACTTGGTAAATCTCAGAAACATTCTTCTAGATTCAAAACTGCTTGTGAACAACGTCTGTCTACACTTCTTCCCTTTATCGACCTTCAGCAGTTATGAGAAACCCCTTTCACACAAATTAAAGGGCGTTACCAATTCTTGATAAAACTTGGCAGCTTTGACTCCTAAGATGTGACCTCAGGGAGTTCAAGACATTTTACTAGGCCTGCATATCTTTTCCCCGACAGCCGTGGAGTACACCAAGAAAGTCCAAGCAGAGCGTGCCAAAGTCAAGGAAGAGATCGATGTGCTTCAGCAAGAGATTAATGGTCTGAAGGCGGCAATCAAGTAAGCTGATTCAGCATGAGTCATTGGAGGCATTTTAGTACTGTCAGAAAGAATGGTAAAAAAAGCTGACGTGATTTAGTGTCTGAGAAAACTAATAGAATTGGGCATGTTCTCTCTGGAAGCAGAAGAGTCCTTTATTTAATCCTGCATTTTATTCAAACTGATTGCCATGTTCAGAAGACAACTGTTGATGACAAAGTACAAAAAAGTGTATTGAACTGCCGAAAAAAGCTGAACTACGATATTGCATTTCTGAAAATGCATGACATGGGAGTGTAACGCCATTTTGAAATGTTCAAATCAACACGCAGATAATCACGCACTTGACTAAAAGAACTAGACGCCTTGTGTCACGTTTTCTTGAATTCAAGATTCCCTTACAGCTCAGAAATAAGCACACTCTTGCACATCTGAGGGCCGTTCTCAGCAATGAATCTCCTGTAAAGAACAAGAAAGAATTCGCTTGTTTCTTTGTGTCTCTGTCCCCTTTCAGAATTCAGAAAACTCTGATGGCCCAAATTAGAAGCCATTGCTAGGGGGCCATCCTGTTTGCACGCAGGCGCTGCACGCGCATGAAATTCCTCCTTGACCAATAGGCAGTAGTCAATTGCCAAAGTGCGCATGCGCACTAAGGTTGAGACAGATATCCCTTAGAATATGGAATTATGCAAAGATCAGTTTTACGGCCAGTGCTTTTCAACATATATATATACTGCTTTTAGGTCAGGTCATGAGAAAACATGGCCTCACATATCACTTTTATGCAGATGACTCAATGCTCGTTCTTCCGTCTATTCCAACATCATACGATGTTCAAAAATAAATATTACTGAGAAATGTTGTGCTGACATTTAATATCAGGTGGCTGCTAATTACAAGAAGTTCAACACTGATAAACCAATATTTAAATTTTTGAACTCTTATGACTTTGACAAAAATCCCTCAAGTTTATACCTTTGTTGGAGATATACGAAACTGAAGCATCTCGGGGTCATTATGGACCAGAATTTGGATATGCAGGATTATCTAGAAATGCTTTCTTTCAAAATGACATCATAAGCCTCTATCATGACGCTGCCATGTTTGTCTTGTTCCCTGTAGACCCATTGGCAATAGTGATGCATCTTCACATACTGACGAAAGGGGAAAGACTATTTTTCCTTCCAGCCCACTGATCTCTATAAACTGGATAGGCAGCTTTGCTCTGCGAACTGAAGCGACTGTGCGACCATCTTAGGCTGTTCAATACAATGGCATTTTTGAAGTCACCGGCTTTAGCGCCGTGCGTAAATGCACTTAATGAATGGACTGAAGTTGGAGGCCATCATGTTGAATATCCTGAGATGGCGGCGCAGTCACTTCGATTCACACATAGACAGTTACTGCCGAGCTGCCTATCCAGTGTATAGAGATCAGTGTTCCAGCCTCAGTTTGGTTACATTCCTTTGAATGGCGGGAAAGCAAGATGGCTGCCCCCGTGATAGAGGTGTATAAACCGAATGAAGAGTGATCTCTAGTGTGGTTAACTGTTCCTCATTGTCACAAAGTAAAGGAAATTGAATTATTTTACTGCCATGTTTAATTTCTCAGTGTTTTTTGTGTGTGTTAATTATGTTCCCCTGTTTGAGAAATTAGTCTGCCCCAGTAGAGTAGCAAGCTTTAGATCTTAGACATGTAAATTAGTATTATGAAAATTCAGATTTGGTTGAGCGATTTTGCTTAATTAAAGGTCTACATGCAGAAGCCATGTGCATACCCAAGGCACTGCTGTATAAGCCTTCAAAGGGTGCAGTCACTATATATTCTGGTGTGGAATTGTGTGTGGCACTGTGTGTACCAGGGCGTGGCCCAATCTAAAAAGACAGTTCTAACAGAAATTGGCTTTTCCCACTGAGGAGCTACCTGAAGATAGGGTTCCAGGTCTTTGGTAGACCACACCTAGTGGGAGTCAGACATCCTGTGTGGATTCATCTTGAAATATTCATGTAATTTCCTTTCAGTGAGAGCCAAAACCAACTTCCTGCCAGTGGTGTGCCTTTGTCAAGACAACGATTTGATCACATGCGGGACATCTTTGATGATTATGTCCGTGAACGGACTGAGCACAATTGGAAGTTTTGGATTGTATCCTTTGAAAAAAAAAGAAAAGTTTAGTGAAGTATTCAAGCTTCGCATACTTAATATTTGATGCTTTTCTTTTATGTAATGTATAAGTGTTTTCATGACGTAACAAAAGAGGTGGCATAATTACAAGATGCCATCAGAAGTTTAGGTGATAAAAAAAATGCATTGAAATTTGATTTGAGGTGTGTCAAAGTTGAGGATGGAATATGAAGGACAACACCAGGTAACAGTATGTCCCAATTGCCAACAGACATGTTTGGTAGTGCTCTCTTTCCTTGACTGAGCATGCACAACAGTTCAGCATGATAATCCGGCCACTGTTTGAATCCTACAATGCGACCGTGTCCACATCGAACACCGAGGAACTCTGCAGGACGGTAATCAGCTGGCTGGACCAACACTGCTCCCTCCTTGCCCTGCGACCCAGTGAGTGTCCCGTTCCTGGGCTGTTTCATTGCAGTGTTTTCTGAGTTGTACATTTTAAACTTGATGGAAATTAATTGGGGAGAGGGGGGAATCATTATGATAGATTTCAAGGCCCACTGAAGGACTCTTCCCCGAAAAGAGAGTTCATATCTACTACATCCCTGGGCATTTAAAAGCTAAGGAGTTTTTTTTTTTGGGGGGGGGGTATTTTTTGTTTTGCGGGGTAATGAAGCAATTTAGATATTCATAAACACTTTTTCATCAAGATTATTTTGTGTCAGATTGAACTACTCCAGAATATTAACCACTTCCTGCCGGGGACTCCGGGATCGGAGACGTATGGTTTATATGGGTGGCCGGGGTCTCCGAACTCGGACAAAGGAAACAGGGCCCTGTAACAAAAGAGCGTACTCCGAACAAAAGACCAGGCTGCTGGGTATGGCCGGCATTTTTCACTCTCAAAAGTGGTGAAAATCCAGCCTTGTTTTGAAACCCTATACCAGGGTTTGGGGCATTGAGAGCAAGCGGATTACCACCAGGGACAAAAGCTCTCCACCACCGCAGCGATGAGCCACACAGCACCGCTGCATGCTAATCTGGCCCCCATTGAAAAGAGGTCAGCAGTAAAAATGAAATGATGAATTTTCGAAGGATTTTGAAAATGGAGAAAATGATACTCATGCCGGCCCAGCATCATCAACATTGAAAAATGCCCCGGCACGAAGTGGTTAATATAGTAACCAATTATTTTAAAGGTGGTGGCCAGAGTTTAAACAAAGTGGGAGGCAAGCAAAAGTTTGCGGTCCGCAAACATTGCATTCATTTGCTGTAGTTAGATGAAGATTGGAGGCTTTCAAGCAAGCAGACCCACGCACTCTTAACAATCAGTGAAACCACACCAATGAATTATTCTGAAATGTATCAACTTTGCCTGTTGATTAACCCTAACCCTCCCAAATCCTCCAAAATCCTTCTCTGCAAAGTGGAGGAATTGGGAGGATTTAGGGTGTATGGCAAAAGTGCATGGCTGATTTCCAAGGATGCCATACGTGAAGGTCGTGGATTAGACCTTATGTTGTTTGTGCTAAGTCAAGCACAAATTCAGCCCGATATTTCTTTTGAATCAACTGCTCAAGAGTGCCATTTGCACTGCCTCAGCATAATGACAGGAATTGCCAGAGTATTTTGAAGGATTTGGGCAGTTAGGCACACCTCCAAATGACATTTTCAAGAAATTTTGGAGGATTCTGGAGGATTGGGGCTGAATGCAATTTTTCATTTTGAAAATTAGAGGCCTTCGGAGGATTGAGGATGATTCCTAGTTTTAAAAAAGGCCTAGGGGGTTAGGGTTAAAATGAGTTATTGGGAGAGGATTACCCAGCCACAAGACGTTTGATTCACGTCACACATCAGTGATTACGCTATCTCTTGACGTTGGTCAAGCGGTATTACTGCAGTTCCATTGGATAAAACCAACAGACCAGAACATGAGAAGAGATGTGCTTTCATAGACTGTCACAGTCATTGGACCAAAGCTAGTTCTATTTAACTGTTGCATTATGCATTGTGCGCTATATATGTGTGGCAGAACTTTTTTTTTTTCGAAATTTTGATCATGTAATTTTTGTTGTCCATTTTGTAGCGGTCTTGTCTTCCCTGACACTGTTGGGTCGCACCACCTCCATTCTCACTAACCCGACAGAGGTGCCCCAAGAAGCCGCCGAAGCAGTGAGCAAGAAGACAGACGCCAGCGGAGGGGACAAGTAAAGGACGGCAAGGTCTACAAGAAACATATGTGCTCCTTTTTTGTGCTTTGAAAGATACCGCCTTTGTTTTCACTGGATGTTGAAGTTAGCCAGTATTGATTGAGAATGGAGAGACAGAGGTTGGGTGTGAATTTACGGGTTTTGATAACGATTGAAGTTTGTGCTATTTTTTTTTTTTTTGTTTTTTTTGTTGTCTATCTCCAGCCGTGGATAATGATATTTTGGCCAAGGCTGGAACTAAAGAGGAGAAGATGGTCTGCGTGGCAGTGTTGTGGTTAAGACCATCACAAGACCTTTCACAAGACCAGACACACGTAACAGGGTGAACATTGACCAAGGAATGCTTTCGTTGCAGTTTATTTGAATAACTTCTGACTTGCATTCAGGCTGGATGTCTTGTGCTGGTCTTGTGGAGTCTTGCGATGGTCTCGACAACACAGGTGCGCGGCATTGGAGCAAGCCAAGAAATCCAATCAGCTTGAAGCCGTATTGGCAAGGGGTGCCAATCTTTCCAGTCTGAGATTTGACTCTGACTCATGTCCTGTCAAGCCCTTCTAGAACAGTGTGACAAAAGTATGAAATGTTGAGCCTAGGGGAGAGGCTCTAGTATGTTGGTAAAACCAGTTTACCACAAGTTTCCCTCTCAGCACGAATCCAGTTTGTAAAACGCATAATGTGTCTAAAAGACAATAGCCCACAATTTTGAAAATCTGGTTTGAATGATAGAAGGGAAACATATTGGATAAAAAAAAAACCTCATCCAATGTTGAGACAGTGTTGCCTACAGATCACAAAAAGTTGTTTTACTTAAGGTGTCTGGGTTTTTAAAATTTTGCGAAAGGGGCTTATTTTACTTTCCTTCTTGGTTGTAAACAGACAAGTGGCTTTTAAGACGGTCATACATGATTGGGCAAACCTGCCCACTCACGCATCATTGATCAAGCAAGTCAAACACTAACTAATATTGTAAGTATTTTTCCTCGGCATTCTTGTAGGAACCATTTTTGTTCCCAGTTACAAACATGTCAATTGATTGCTATGTACAGAAGAATGTAAATGCGGCACATAGGAACCTTTCTTTTTGGAAATAACTCGTCTGTTCATTGTAGCAGGGTCTGTGAATCTTTGACCTCCACTTGGGAAGAGAAACAACACTGTACAAACCCTAAACCAGACTGAGTAGGAGGCTAAGTTATTTGGTTTTTATTAATAAGAAAAATGGTTAGGTTTAGGAACTCAAGCTGATCCGTGGTGCATTTTTGTAAGATAAAAATTATGGTGGTTTTGGCCATAGCTGCGGATATTTGACTGACTTGTGTGCTATATCATAAAGCAGAGCTTGTGTCTGGTACCTTGTGTCTGGTTTGGGGAAAGTTGGTCCAAATTTTGGTCATAACATGGGGTCTGTATTGCACAGCCTACTTTGTGAGGTTTTGCGTATATTACCTTTGACCCACCAGGAGTGGGCTTGCAACTGGAAATACCAGTGAGCCGGAAATATGACATGTACAGTATGACTGTTTTTACTGGCCGTAATCAGGCCAAGGATTTTCCAAGAAGCCATAATTTAACATCTCCAATTTTACAATTTGAGCTCTTTTCAAGCCTCAAAGGTTTTGATCAGAGGCATTACAGCAGCCGATTTCACATATTGTGGCTCAACTACTTTATATCTCTGGGGTTCCCGGTACCTTGGTACTTTAAGGTTTGTATGCATAGCCGGGGTGCCCAAATTTGAACAGAGGAGCTGGACCTTGTAACAAAGACCGTACTCGGAACAAAAACCGAGCTGGTAGGAATCGCTCTCATTTTTCAGCTGGCATTAGCGTAGGTAACTCGTCATTATTTTGAAACGGTATACCACTGTTTACAGCATTCAGCGCCCGCAAATTGTCAGCAGGGACAAAAGTACTCCAGTGATGAGTGATACAGTTCCGCTGCACGCTAATCTGGCTGCATTTGAAGAGATATCACTGCCATTCAGCTACGCACTGAACCGGTTTCGGGAACAAAGGAAATTACGCAACACTGCACATATAAAAGCTTTCTATTCCACAGCATCTGGGTCTACAGTGAGAGGTTTTGTCACCCTGTCTAATTTTCATCTGTTGCAAAAAAAAAACAAACAAAATCATCAAACAAGTAACATGGTTTGTGACACAAGTCACAGTCTCCTTGCGTCACAGTCTCCTCCGGTCTTCTGTGGAGTTACTGCATGTGATTTATTTATGATGATTTCAATTTTTTGTGTATCCTTGATTTTTTGGGGGGGGGGTTGACTTTTTGGGAAGGGGTGAAATGTCCATGGATTGCTTTTTCTCTGTGCCAAAAAGAAACCTAATGACTTACAAGAGGGTAAATTTTATTCGAAACAGCAAATATATTTCCATCGAAACATGGAGCAGTATTAAAAAAGAAAACTTAAATGACAAAAATGATTTGTACAGTCTGGTCTGTAACCGTACATTTGTCCTGTTAGCTCTCTTACTATGATAGTGGATTGCTAAAAATGGGTAGCAAGTATTCAGTGAGATAGTGTTTAGCCATTAAGATGATAGACTTTTGTCAAGCGGTTTTTCTAAGTAATCATTGAAATCTCTAAAATCAGGAATTTAATAAGATACACCGTTGAAGGCCTTTTGCTATCCAAATGTTCCTTTCAAATATCTGAAATACTGTGGTGTTTTCTAAGAAAAAAAAAAGATTTGAAGAGCTTTGTTTTCCGGGGGCTGGCATGTTTAATACTCAGGATCATTCTGTTGGATGTATTTTTTTAAAGAGGAGAATTTAGCGGTGATAGTGACAGATGATAGCTGACAGATTTGAAAAGGTTCATCCATTTTGTCTTCCATCCTGTGTCTTATGCTAGTGTCATTGGCCACCCTTACTTGGACCTTACTTGGACTTGGAGTGAATTACCTCTGAATATCCAATTCACTTTGGGTAAAAAGAAAAGTTACATGCACTTGGCATCAACTTCTTCTTGTGAGAGAAAAAATCTGAAACAAGATACAAATCACACTTGCTAAACTGGCTTCCTACGTTGTTATAGTAAACACAGACTTCTGCATGTTATTTGCAGCTCCTTTACATTTTTAAGTTAACTCGATTGTGTTCTTCACCTATAATTTTGTACCCAAATTAAACAGGTCCATTAATGTCCTTGCTGTAAAACAGAATTACCCACTCGTGTATGTATTTCCTAAAGAAACCCAGTAGAAATGAAAACTAATTGAACAAATGTGATAAGTGTAAATATTAAGAAGAATTTTGTGTGCACTTAATATGTATTGTAAACAAAACAATTTGTAAATAGATGTCATGTTAAGCTTTAAACAGTTAACTTGTAGGTGGTTGTTAATGCATATTATGCATATTAGGCCAACAAAAAATGTCTGCGGTTTCTGGTCAGGAACTGGCTCCAAAAGTGGTGTGGTGATGCAACTTTTTTTTCTTACCCTGCACCTGTTAAATGTTTGAAAGCATTTTCAGCTTGTACATGTACACAGGACACAAGACCACCATGTTTGTCTGGTTCCCAGATGCAAATGTGTAATACAGAAAAGACGTCATCTGAAAAAGAGTGCCCGACTAAATGTACAGGGGCCTAGAGGGACTCCTTTACTGTACATATTACTCAATTGCAACACATCAAAAACGCATAAAAATTATGCAGTAGCGGAATTCCAGTCAATTAAGCAAGTCCTGCAGCTTTTAGACATTGTTTTATTCCAAATAAACTTTCATTTTGCCAACACGCTGGTCTGTGGCAACGCACACCGACCAGAAACTGGAGAGACTGTTTTGGGGGGCCATATCTGTTTCTTGACATCTTTGGAAATGACCTTTTTATTTACTCTGAACCCAATAAAATGTCGGGCTTGTTTACATTCACTTGAGGAATGCAAATATTTCACAGTGTTGCAGATTGGTCACAAATGATTTTTCTGTTTAGATGATAATAATAACAACAATGAACATTTACAGAGCACCAGTATCCGCTGTGAACGGCACTCACAGCGCTAATAAGCAAAGACATCCAATAATTGTTGAGGAATATTAACCAAACACCTGTCTACGCAAAGATGATTTTAATCTATCCTTGAATGTGTCAAGTGATTTCGATAGTGTCACAGATTCCAGTGAAGAGTTCCAAAATTTAGGTGCTGCAGTCTGAAAGCTTCTCTCCCCTCAAATGTAATGAGCCATAGTTTCCTTGAGTAGATGTACACAAAATGCAGCGAATCAGTGATATTGTGCCACAGTTTGCAACAGTCTTTTTCTCAAGTGAATGGAACACACCCCAAATTTTCAAATAAATTTAGAAAGAAAATCAAGTGTACTCTTTTGTCAAGATACCATCTGTAGCAGATTGAAGCCATTCAGTGATAATATTGTCAAGATGATTCTGAATTTTAATCGGTTCTTTGACATCAGGGTAGTCTAGGGTCCAAGACGCCCTTCGCAGTGCTGCGATCCGATGTGTGTGGTGTAAAATGCAATTTATTGTGACTGCGGCTGGAGATGGTTTGTGTTCATGAACAAGCAGGTATTCGAACCAAGACTAACATCGGGGTACCATTATTATTTTCAGGTTCTGTGTGAATTTGATTGTTTCAATACAAAGTTGAGAAAAGGGCAGCCTTTGCATTTGTTCCTGACCTGTATCCAGCATTCTCTCATCTCCAATTGTAATCCCTCTTTCCGTTTAAGTTATCCTTGCCTTCTAATGTTGAGAAATTTGCAATATTTATGATTAATTTAAATTTCACGAGAAGGATTCTTGTCTAAATGAGAATTTCACCTTAAACATCAGCCACTTAATTGTCCTAGTTGTCTGTATTAACATCTCTTTGAAATGCATTCATTATGAAAGTGTCCAGAGTATTATTGTTATATATTTCTGGTAATGTCACCAAGGATTCCTCAAAAGCACCCAAGGCACTGTAGCTCGCAAGCCTGAAGAAACCTGTAGAGAGGAGACAATGAGAAGCAGTTACAGTTTAGAGGTGGGAGGGAAAACCCCAGAGGAATATTCTGGGTAAAACCCACGGAATCGGGTAGGGACTGAAAACCCAATCCACGTGTGGACTGAGCCAGAAATCGAACCTGGACCCCAGAGGTGAATTGGGAGGACAGAATGACTATAACCTGACTGCGTATTGTGTGTGCACTGATCAAGCACAACTTTGCATCACTAATGAAGAAATTCATGTAAGACAATTCTTTCTGGATCAAAGCATCAGGTTCTCCAAATGTTTAGGGGAGTGGGAGTCAGTTAAGATTTCTTTCAAATTTAATTTTCCCTGAATTTGTCATTGTCTAAGGTTTTTACAAATACATAAGTAATTTATTGTGATGTGAGCAGGGGTGAAAGGTTAAAGGTTAATCTTTTGTGAAGCTATGCGCATACTATCATTTCAATGAATTATAGCTCACACATACTCATGGCACTTCAGATTTTTCAAATACCTGTTTAGCAGTGTATAGGGTGAAATTATGGGAGTTGTTTCGTTTGTGTGGCCAATGACGTATCTTGCTCAAGCAACCCCTCATCAGTTGAACAGAGCCAAGTTGGCCGGAAGTGTTCATTTTCCTGGTAGCAACGAAACTATAACGTGGGCATTTCACAGTCGTTTGTGAACCAAGGAAGTGCATTTCCGACCAAAGAGCCTCCGTTGCTTGGAAAATTGCACCCTCTCTTGGTCCAGTTGGGAGCTCACAAGTTTGGTCATGTAGATTGCATTCTTAAACAAAAATGTAATACATGTACAAGAAATCCATACATAACTGTTCACTGCATATCCAACTGGAGATACGCACATCGTAACTTCTTTTTTTACTCAATATTGAAAAGCTAGGATTTAACTTACTAAGTGAGAATGTACATAGTTGTTGATATGTTTGAGTATACATTTAAACAATGTAAACCAATAATGAAGACGTAGAGCCTTGCATTGAACATTATGAATGTGTGCTAGACAGGGTTTTTTTTTTTTTTTTGGTTTTGTTTTGTTTGGTTTGGCTTTATTTTGGAAACTGTTCTTGGAATGACTTATATTCCCAAGATCAGCGACCTCAACCAGCCTGTGTTTGAAGATACTGTCGCGAATTCATGAAATAACTGGCAAGGTTATTTTTTTTTTTTTTGAAGCCATGCCATTGCTTGCTCAGTTGGCCACCATTTTCAAACCAGGCTATTATCAATTTGGCAGTTTATTCCATGCACGCTTTAAGGCTGGACTTGGGGGGGGCAAATGAACCGATCTGTGTTGAGGTTTTAGTTGTCAGAAAAATTCTGTTTTTTAATGACTAATTTGGAATTTTTCATCTAAGGAATGAACATTGTTTGAAAATGTTTAGCAATTGAGGCAAACATTGCTCAAATGTTACAGATGAAATTACAAGTCTCCAAATGCCTTTCCTAAAACTTCAGTCATTTGCAAAAGCAAGATAGATTTTTAGAAATTCCCTCCCAGTCAAGCCTGTCTCATAGCCAAGAAGCCTGGGTCACAAGTTGCTACTGCCTCAGTCAAATTCCTATTAATTTCTCATATTTATTTTAACAAACTAGCAAGTACTGTGCCCTGTCACTGTAAACTGTAATATCACTCCCAATATACATGTATATACCTTATGTTAGACTATACACTAAGTGCATGTATTAGTCATTGTTCGCATTAATGCATTTTTCTTTTGCTATAACTTGATTTTATATCACAATCTGTGGACAGAAGTGGCTGACAATTGATCTGTTGGAAATAAAAATGATGAAAAGGTGGACACACATCAGCTCTGGATTTTTTGTTGTAAAGTTTTATCCTTATGACCACAGTAACTCACGTTTCCAGGTGTGCATCTTTTCCCTCTGATAAGTCTACTTGTTGGAATTTGTTCTCTTTTTTGTCCTCTCGTTTCCTAATTCCCAGCAAAATGCCTTTATTTCTCTCAAGGCGTGAGAAATAAACATAATCTCATTGATTTTGTATCTTATCAAAAAGAAAAGCTCGTATCCTTCACGAATCAACCAAACAAGTAAGAATTTGCAGTCGGCAGTTTTTAGAAAAGTCACACATGCAGAAAGAAAACAAGTTTATTATTTTAACCTCCCCCCTTTTATATTCCCCAAAAGCCACTACACGGCTCCAACTCTTTGTCTTGGGCTTTGGAGAAGTGAGGGCTCCAGTGATCAGACAAAAAGTACAATGAATTACAATTTGAGATTTCTGGTATTGGGAGTTTCCTTTAGATAAGTGATATTAAACAGTCGTTTTAAAAAAGTTTCACATGGAACAGTCGTCAATGAATTTCAACCGCATACTGTCAGTACTGACAGTATAGTATAGTAGAGATCAGTGTGAACATGTACATGTTAATTGCTTGACAACATGGACGCTTCTTGTTTGCCGACAAATCGTCGCTCAGCCTCAGGTAAGGCCCATCGAATGTTAGGTAGTCTGTTTGGTCCGGGAAATAGTAATATTATTTTTATCCTGTGTTATGCGCTATTCTTGATTTTCCAAAATCAATTCTATTGTAGCCTGAAATCTTAGCCCGAAATATCTGTGGTCTACATTCACGTCGCCTGCGCGTGTTCGGCTGCATTGTTCAGCTTCAGTGCAATCTTGACTCTTGCCTAACGCGATACGTTTGGCCTTTTCCCCCGAGGCAACCCCCAGAACTGTTGGACGTTCTGGGGGTACCTCAAGGCCTCTTGTCTTCCTGAGGTGATTACCCTACAAATGAATTTCATTCAAAGGTAAACCAGCTAGAGTACATCCTCACAATGGGCTGAATAATCACATCACTCAAGTCGTGTGCCTCCAACATGTCCAAAGCTAGGTTACAATTACATGTGATGTCCTTCCAAAAAGTAGCCAACAGTTGTGGTAGTACTGTTGGAGTGGAATGAAATTCAGAGGGATGGTTGCAGTTGGTTCAAGTTGCAACCAGTGCAGACCTAAATCACTAATTTCAAACAAGTTGATTGTCCTTGATCGTATAGTCTAGTTGCCAGGTCACTAATTTTGCCACCTATTGTCAAGTCGCATTGGTTTTCACAGGAGGCCTAAGACAAGTGGCGAAATAAGGGACCTGGCAACTGTATCTTCATGGACATGAATCTTGTTAATTGTTAGTTTCTTTCTATTTTCAGATAACCGATTTCAACATGAGCCCTGAGGAGCAGCAGTTGGAAAAAATAAAATCCAAAAGTTTTCCTTAAGTTTCCTCTTCCACGTGTCAGGACGCTTTTGTTTGTGTGCGCTTCCTTTCAAACCTTCTTCCAAAATAATCACCACTTATTGCTTTGAAACATTTGAATGAAAAATGACACAGGCCTAGAGCGTCAGGAATCTGTTGATTGTTCAACAGTGGGCTGCAATGGCCTCTCAGTACAACTCAAGACAAAGTCTAAGAGGCAGGCCACCTGCTGCACCAAGCAGACGATGGTCAACGGTCGGTCAACCAACAGGAAAGGTATATTACCTGACTTGAACATCTCATGGAAAAGTATTAGATTGTAGTGCATGTGCACGGATTCTGCCCATGGGGACATGTTTCATTGTTGGGGTTTGTAGCTTTTGATCTAGTCTGAATAACTTTGACTCCACAAATCTCCTTTGTAAACATTTGGACATGGTCAGGCGATAGCAGATCACCCGATCATGTCCAGATGTTAAAAATGGCCATTCACAAATCCTTGCAGATGGTTACCTATATGATCTTAGGTACTTTCCACTTGGGAGTGAATAGGATCATGTAAAGGCAGCAGTGGCATAGCCATGGGGGAGGGTAGGGTAGGAGTGCCCCCAAGGTGCTCCCCTTCCCCACTGAAAAAAAAAATGGATGAATGGATATTGAACAAGGCAAACAAAAACTTGCCCCCAAAAGCCATACCACTGAAAGCTGGTGCCCCCCCCCCCAAGATACTGGTGCCCCCTTTGTGCTCCCACTAGTAAAATCCTAGCTACGCTACTGAAAGACAGACAAATGTAAGGTTATCAAGCTTGGCCATTTGCACCAAAAATAGCAACATTGAGCTGCGTACTCCCCAGGGAGCTTAGATGGTTTCAGGAGTACTTTGATTGCATAACAGCACATCGCCTTGGAGTAATGGATATTGTTAGATACTTTGGGCCTTACAAATGCTCTGATTCTACAATTCAGTGTTTCCTGAAGCACAAAGATAACATTGCACTGGTCCTGAGTACCTCTTTAAATCTTGTAAAAATATCAAGGGCCCTAGAATTAGCTAGGAACAAGCCATGTCATAGTGTATATCATTTAGCAAATTTTGCTTGTTACAGGCTGTTTCTGGTATCTTTAAGTGTACTCAACATAATCAGTGCTTTGTGATGGATCCAGCCGACTATTGCTTTGCCTACGGCTGGGTGTTCCAGTTATGTTCAAAGCCAGGGATAAAGGAATGTGTCACTGTACATGAAACGAACAAGTGCAACTGAATTCAAACTTAAAGTAGGTGGGGTTTTTTGCTGAAAAATCCAATTTTGATCTTTTCTACCTCTTCCAGCCCCCAATTCCCTAATCATAGTCACAGATTTATGTTTCAAAGTCAGCATCTTTTATCTTTATTTGTATTTGTTTTTAAGCTGTTTCGCCACCTCAGTAGTTATTTTTCCTACCCAGATTTGGATATTTCTTCCTCCCTGCTTCATTGTCCAGGCAAACTACCGACCAATGACAACAAGCATGTCCAGAAGGCCATCTCAACAACAACAGCAACGGCCGCTCCAACAAGACAGTATCCAAGAAGCAGAGAGAAGTGAGACAACACCAACAGAAAATAAACAGGTAAAAACATGATTGTTGAGATGTGGTGAACTCTATTCCAAGCAAACTATCCTAGACTACTGTGTCCTCGCATTGTTGAGATGTGGTGAGCTCTATTCCAAGTAAGCTATCCTAGACTACTGTGTCCTCGCATTGTTGAAATGTGGTGAATTCTATTTCAAGGTAGCTATCCTAGACTACTGTGTCCTTGCATTGTTGATTTCAAGGTAGCTATCCTAGACTGCTATGTCCCAGTCTTGTAGTCGAGACCATCACAAGACCAGTCATAAGTGACAGTGTGACCAATGACAAAGGAATGCTTTTGTCGCAGTTCATTTGAATAGCTTGTGACTTGAATTCAGACTGGAGGTCTTCTGTGGTCTAGGAAGGTCTTAAGTGGTAGCGACTACAACACTGTTATGTCCTCGCATTGTTGGGATGTGGGGAACTCTATTCCAAGCAAGCTGTCCTCGACTGCTATGTCCTCACATTGTTGAGATGTGGGGAACTCTATTCCAAGCAAGCTGTCCTCGACTGCCATGTCCTCGCATTGTTGAGATGTGGAGAACTCTATTGCAAGATGTTCTCCGAGATTGCTCTTTCCTCGAATTACTGAGATGATCTCCCAAGTTGAGCCCTTACTCTGTGATCTTTTTTCTAATCACAGCTAAGCAATCCTGTTCCACCCTCCAAGAAGCGTTACTCTTACCGCCAGCCCTCCGATCCCAAGGTTGCTGCCGAGATTGAGGTATTGACCAAGTACATGACGGAGACCAACCTCATGAATGCCATGATGGCGGTCTGCCAGTCAGTCCTGAGACAGGAGAGTCTTCCCTACAATCCATACCCCGAGTTTGTGAGACAAATCAGACATGATGCCGAGAGGTAAGTTGTAAGTCAAAAAGGTCAGCTCTCATCAGTACAAGTTTTTTTGTACCAGTGTTGGAATTGCCGTTTCTTTTCCAGTTATCTTTCTTCGCAGTTGGGCACATATTTAGTGCATGAGTAAAATTCCAGTTTTTCAGCAACTGTGCCGGATTGCTGTTGTTAAAAGATGTCACAGTACTATGGGCAAAACAGCATTGGCCCATGGATTCAATGCTTAGATCACATACATGAGTTTGGATGTGCTTAAAGCGCAAGGCCTTACAATCTAGTTCATCTTAAGTACTTTTACAAGTTGTCAAAAGTGGGTTTAATATAAGAGGACAAACAGTTGCAGATGTATAGTTCTTTTGTCACAGAGTAATGTGACTTGGCTTGGGAGGCTGAAGGAGTGGTAGAAAGAGATTTTCCCGTGTTGAGCTTAGCGGCCTGTGGGAACCATTGTTTCAACCTCTTCATAGCTAGTGTTTTTCAGCTGCAGTGTAACAAATGTCTTTCCACATTATACCAGTTTCCCTTTCACCCACAGGTTCCACATGTTTGCTCAAACCACTAAAGCCATCCAGGCAACACTTACTAGCCAGCTGCAGTCGACAACCACACCCCACATCTATGGGGTCAAAGGTCACAGCAATGCCTGGGGTCTAGAGCCTGTGATCAATGCAGTCAACCCGCAGGCATTGAAGCGTTACGATTCCCTGATTGAGGACGAAACTCCAACGAAACTTGTCCTCTCCGATGAGCAACAAGAGTACAGTGTAAGTTCTTGGACAACTTTGGGAAAAGTTGTCTCCCCTTTAAAAAAGACCCTTGTATCTTTGAAAATGTCGTGTGGTCCTGGCACCACTGTGCTTTGGCAAGAGGCATTTCATACCAGAGGCCACATTATGGCAATCGATATGTGTACGGACAGCTGATGGCTTAAACCAATGGGCATGCCTTTACCCTCTGCCAATAGACGTGTAAACAACTAGGTCTTGTACTGTATTGGCTTTTTATACACTCAACATCGAGGAAGTCTGTAGAGGCAGACCATGTGTTAAACTTGACTGTTGCACGCCCTGTTGAAGTAAACATTGCTTCTCAACAGGGCCTCCCAGGGCTGCAAAATGTAAGGTTACGGTGAGATGTATTACACAAAATAGTGAACAAATAGCTGACGAGAGACAGAATTTGTTAAGTTATTGGAAAAGTTGGCTAATAATATACCCTGACTTTTGAACAAAGCAATGTATTATATTGCTTTTTGGGGCCAAAAGTGAAACAGTCAGGAAGTGGTTAGTTTGGTAACATTTTTACCTTTTCTACCATTTTTACCTGCCCAGTAGTTATGCTGTCTGTATTCTGCAGACTACCTTGATATAGCCTGGGCATCATATTGTCATAGGGCTCACTGCAAATAAACTTCTGATAAACGCACACATGTACAATGCAAAGAAGAATCATCGTGGCTTTTTGGGTCTCATCAGGCTGGACCAAGAGAGGACCCTATTTTCTTAGCAACAAAGGTTCCTTTGGTAGGAACTAAACTTCGTTGGTTGGCGAATGTCAGTCACATCACTACCGACAAAATGAACGCTCCCGACCAATCCGACTCTTTTCAACCGATGAGGGGGTGCTTTGCTTGAGGCAGACGGACGTGGGACTACTGGTTGTGATCCATCATTTGGACAGGTTGCCACTCTCCGCCTTGAGCAGGAGCACCCCCTCATTGGTTGAAAAGAGCCACGTTGGTCGGGGGGTATTCATTTTGTTGGTAGTGAGCCACTGTAACGCTTGCATTTCCAGTCGTTCGTTAGTTAGTACCAAAGTAGCCTCCATTGCTGAGGATGTAGCGCCCTCTCTTGGTCCAGCTTGAGGCCCATAGCAAACCGGTTCCTTATTCTTCTTGAACCAGCCAAAATGGCTGGCTGCTTTGCTAGATTGAATATTTTGAATTAAGAATAGCAACACCAACTAACGACCCTCAAATAAAGCTATATTCATAGATACAGGATTATCATTCCTTTTTCATAATTCAGGGTCAGATTTTGGTTGCCATAGTTGGGCCAGCTGCTTTCACAGGGACGATTTATCATGAGGTACCTTCTGTAGACCTGAGAGTTGAGTACATTATTTATGGTCCAGATGTTCAAACGGTGAGCTGCTTTAGTATTGTTTTAACCACAGGGAATTTTTTGAGATGCAATTTGGTCAGTGTTGGGTTTTTGTGCTTTATTTTGCTTGCTGCCGTGGGTCCAAGGTATTTAATGTGAGTGTTAACTAACCGTTAGACCATTTTTAAGGCCATGCAGTTGGCCTCTGCAGTGTTTTGTTTCCAAAAGCAAATCCACCCAGCTCAAAATTCAACCAAGTGGCTACATTTCCAAATTAGGTGAATCAGTCTTGGTTGAAGACGAGAAAGGAGTGCATGTTTCCGTATTCATAGTGAGTGACCTCGCCCGCTGATTACTTGAATTGCCCGTGGGTGACGGGTGTTAAGATTTTTTTGTAATCTGGATATTGTATTGTTAATATGTTCATTTGGATCTCCATCCAGGCTTTGTTGATCTTCAACAGCTGCATATCTGAGGACATCCGTCGGCACTTATCAACAGACTGTCCTCACAAGATCTTAGGTAATTGTAAACGTTTCAGTTTTTGAGTGATGTTAGAAAAGTATGGTGCACGAGTCTTTTATTTATTGAACTGACGTCTACTTTATGGAGTGTCTCCAATGTGATATTTTCCCGTTGTGATCAGAATGCAAATGAGGTATGTTCTAGTTTGGACTGTATTACATACCCCCTGTTCTGATCTGAAACAATTCTCAAATGGGTACACGTGGCATTTTCAACTTTTATTGAGAAAAAGCTAGCAGGTTTGTACATTTCCATCATCACATGTGTTATTCCCAGTCATAGATGATTGATTGAGACATGGACAGTGTTTAGAATATTGGAAATGCATCACATTCTTTGCCCATTCCAAACTGGAACGATTCTCAAATGGGTACACCTGACATTTCTAGGCTGTTGCTCGTGTTCATGTTGCTTGTTCTTAGTTTGAACAACTGAAGCTCTTGCTAACATGTAATAATCTTTCCACATTCTTAGGCAGTTTTTTTTTTTGTAATTTGTGACTCGGGTATTAAGACCTGCCCCACATTTCAAGACCTGTTTTATGACAACTCAAGTTGTGATTCTGCACAGGAATTCTTGTGCCAAAATCTGGACCTAATAGCCAGGTCACCAACTCTAGCGAAATTGAGTTTTGGACCGTTGAACAGGCCAGGGAGAAATGGGATGAATTCTGGGACACGGTGAGAGATGCTGTTCTACAGAAACGACCAATTGTAATACAGGTAAGTGAACTGTCATTGGTAAACTGAAAATGAACAAAAAATGTTCACAGTAAAGTTGTACATTGAAAGCCTTTAAATTCTTGTACTTTTCAGTGTTTGTTTCTCCTTGACCATGAAAACAACGAATACCGCACTGGAAACAAGCAGTTTATTTTACACTTCGTGGAAACCTCTGAGAATTCAGAAAAGGAAAAGTAAGTATGAGCACAAAGGTGAATTCAAGTGTAGTTTTGTAGTTACGGCAGTGGTTTTTTTACACTTCGGTATTCTGAGGCACAGACATGTACTTTGCTGAAATGGCCATGATGGCAGGAACTTTGTTCTCGAAGGGTCAAGGCAAGCCTTCCCTTGCAAAGGGTCCCAGTATTAGGAAATCAACTTGTCTGTGGGAACATTTCAGTAGGCATCTAGGCAAAGACCAGAGGCAATTTGCCTCCAGTGCCTCTGTGAAGTTTCCTGCCTTGGGTCATTGACTGCTCCACTGCAGTAAGCAGTATCTAGTCTTGGATTAGGAGAGCCTCTCCTGAATTCTCGAAAGTTTTTAGGGTTGGTTTTCTGCATTTTTTGTTTTGTTTTGTTTTCACTGTCACGCTTTTTAAAGTGTGACCATCGTTGTTACTGCTTGAGTCTGATGGGGGGGGGTTTAAAATCTTAGCTATATCTTTGGCTTCAACTTCTGGCTTTAGTTTGTGAACATAATCTCTTGAATTGGGACCTTTGTATTCAATGCAGCTCCATCTTTTCTCACAAAATGTCATTTTATCTGAAACGAGATTAAAATTCCATATGGTTCCAACCATAACTGTTGGAACTGATTCTAGTGCCTGAGATGAAGGCTGAAACAGATAAAGATGCAATTTGAAAAATGCTCTAGCTTGCTGTTGATAAGACTACTCGGACTTATGAGTCATTTAACTCACTGAATCTACAGGTTTAGGAGTTTTGCTGAGCTGCCCTACATGACCCTGTACGAGGGTGTCTTCCTCAAGAAGGCCCATGCCGAGGCCTATGTCATGACGCTGAAACGGCTCCAGGATAATACCAACCAGACCGCTGCCAACAGGCAGAGGCCTGACATGGAAGACAGCCTAGCTTCACTGCATGAAGCTGAGAGGGACGATGGGAATGACCTGATCTACGCTGGTGAGGTCAGAGAACCAATCCGGTGAGTTCTAGCGTTCCTATCAAGACCTAACCCCAGATCATGCCTTTAATCAACTCAATGGCGGCATGATTTTTGTGCTACTTTAAAAATCAATTTATACATGTGCCACCTCCTTTGGTCAAATGAAACATGGTAGCTGATTCCTTTTCTTGTTCACACATTTTGTGATGAAATTAATTTCTGTTCTTGTTGTGTGCAGAGAGAAATGGCAGCGGCAAATAGCTAAGTTGCACCCAGTCAGAGACGCCTTCCGACTGGCTCATCTTACCCTTTTATTGGCCCTCTCAGACAGGTAAGATCCAAGTCTGGTGCACAGTAACTATTAACTTCATTTACTCACTATTTCGGTGTTTATTTTGGTCCTGTCTGGTTATGGAGCCAAGGGTTCATCAAGAGTGAACAAGCATTGTAGCCAAAAGACCAAGAAACCTTGAGAGAAGACAGAGAAGAAAAATCAATTTTAGAGGGGGGACCCTGGAAGAACATTCCACGGAAGATTCATGATATCAGGTAGAGACTGATGATCCAGTCTACATGTTAAGCCTGGGTGGGATTCGAACCTAGTACCTTTCCACCAACCTGACTCTCGCTGCTCAAAGATTTAGACTTAATTACCTCTAAACATTGCAAGAGTTTAGGATTTTGATTTCCCACGGCATGAAAAAAAATGTAAAATAGTGAGTTTCTGGCTGCTATTTTTATATCTGCAGTAGCGTTGAAGGGTCAGAGGTCAGGATTGAAGTGTATCGATTTCTACACAGCACAGCTGCGTCATTTCACACAACTACAGTTCTCAACTCAACCTTACAACTTCTGGCTCATACCACAAACCAAAAGGTATGACTTCAGCCACCAGGCCTCGGGGTCAAACACTGTGTAACTGCTAAAATGGTGGCGCTAAAGCAAATCACTTTATATCCATTTGTGAGAATTTAACATCTGGCATCTTTCTCCATACAAATACTCTGAAATTTGTAATATCAATGAACCAGAGTTTCAAACTCTGAGAATGTGTTTTATAATTTTCTGCCACCTACAACGGTGTTGAGGGCTAGTTGAGATTACTGTACTGGTGATCTGCTATATGGTAATTTAATGTCAGTTGTAAGCAGTGACTTCCGCCAACAATTTTTATCCATTTTGAAATTGCAACAAGCATTGCATGTTTACAGAGCTGGCCAGTTGTCCAGTAAATTGCCCGCGGTACCCACTGTCGCACCAGTGTATTAATTTTCCGTCATCTTGGTATGGCCATAGAATTCTGACGACCAGAGGTTATTGACCAAGCAGTTCGCCGAGTACAAGACCAGGTTACTGGCAACCGTTGATCCAGAGTTACACGCAAGATCCTCAGAGTTCCATGTCGCTCACACTGTCCTTGGCAAGGTCATGGAGCAGATGCTAGCACCGGATTCATCAGACCCCAGCAAATTGATCTTAAAGTCACTGGTAAGTATAGATTTGTTCAAGACCCCCCAAAAATCCTTTTTCTCACTTCTTCGTACAGAAAATGGACTCTTCCAATTAGTGGACAGGACAATGACATCTGACAAGCACAAGGGTTTAAGTAAAGAAAGAAGGGACCATATTTGGTGAGAGACCGTATTTTATGTGACACCATCATTGCTCTGATGTAGTTCAAGTTGGTTCTCACGTTTTGACTAAATGCATCCTGCTCCGCAAAATGTGTCTGGAGTCACTTGTGAATTACAGGCCGTTTGAAAAATCTTGCAACAGTCGGAACCTCGATATTTTTCATCCACACAATGTCCGTTTCATCAGGATGCCAAAATGATGCCATAATTTGACCACCATAATTAGAAGCCATTACTGCGGTGGCACAACACTCCTGGACAGGTGGTACGCGAGCGTTACATGCCCCTTCGACCAGTAAGGTGTCATGATTTGCCACATGCACTCACGCGTCAAGCTGAAGAATGTGCATGTGAGTACGGTGCCACCGCAGTTATGGCGTCTAGCCGGATTAGTCTGTAGACTAACTTGGTCAGCATACATTGGAATTGTGCATACACTTTGCTCCAGTGCATGCATTCCAGTGCGCACAAGCTGTATCAGCGTTATGAAACAAGGCTAGGCTACAAAGCACTGCTCAAATACACTGATTACTCCCAGACTGGAGTTTCTTGAAATAATAAGCAGAAGCAGAAATACCAAGTCCATGCGTGTTCGGCTTCATATTCCTACTTGTGCCTTGTCTCTCCAGGACTTGAACACGTTGCAGTTCATTCAAAACTACTGCACTTCACTGCAGTTCCTGCTGATAGAGGATGCCATGTTTTTCTTCAAACGTCTGAATTTCAAGGTATTTCAAGACATCTCCTTATCAGTTTTGAGTCATGTCATGCAGCATTCTCCGTAGACATACCGCGTTCCCTAGGTTGAATGAAAGCTTGCAATTTACTCTGAGTATTCTGTAGTTTTCATCAAGAGAACAGTAAAAAATGGTGAGATAATCATTGGGATGGATCCCAAGCTGGGTGTGCACATTCAATACAAGCATCATTATTCATTTTTCAATGAATTGCTGTGAAAATGCCGTAGAAATTTGCAGTGTTCTCGAATGAATGTGCTTAAAAGGACACTTAGTCTTCTGCAACAAAAGCTCTTCCAATGCTTACTAATATGGGTGTAGAGCTTGCCATTAACACTCATGCTTGTTTTCATGCAAAATGCACTGGAATCAGCCTGCAGACATTCCCTTGTGTGCTTCGTTATAATTGATTTATGTATAGAACATGCTTCATTCTGTTAGGATTCATCATGTATGTGACCTGTGGTGGTTAAATGGTGAAACTGCCTCTTATTCGGCTACCGTTTGGCCTGTTGCGGGCTGATTCATATGTGGAATGCATTAACCATGCATCTTTTACTAATGTGTAAAAATGCATCAAGTTTAATTTGTATAATGAATATGTAAAAGGTGAAGTGAATATGCAAATAAGGTATCACTTGGCAAACTATTTCATCCGCTTTCATTGCTCTGTAGAATTCAAAATATCTCCTTTCTGTTACTCAGAGCTAATGGCCAGTGAATTTCCAAAGAATGGACACTTGACGGAATCAACTCACTTACTCTTGGAGAGAAATTTTTTTAAAAAGACACTACACAAATAAACGTCAAAAGACGATTATCAGCAGATGTCTTATTTTGTTAGAGACGTATTATTACCCTTAGAATTTCAGACATGGTTTACAGCTTTATAGTCTTTTTTGGTGTCATACACAATAGCAGAATTATGTGACAAAAGTTCAACAAAATTCAACTTCAGCTCTTCAGGCATACACGTGATGAAAGTCAGAGTGTTCTTATTACTGAAAAAGAGTTAAGATCAGAAATGGGAAATGGTTTGGCAGTTGCTAATTGTGATCACTGGCTGGATTAACGTAGCCTTACCTACTTCCAAGCCCTGTTGCATTTCTCTGTGTGCTTGCTACTTCGGATTGCTAGACTTTAGTGAGCGGGTGCAGGGAAGCTTTCAACAGACAAGCTGCAGGAACAACTAATGGGAGCAAAAGGAAGGTAGGTCTGACCATTCATCTCAGTTTTCATGAAGAGACTCATTTTTCTCCTTCATAAATTCCTATCTGTGTGAGAAACTGTGTTGAAGTGGTACATCTTGCTCTGCAAGGAACAACTCATTGCATTGTTATTGTTAATATTTTCCTGTTTAAAGATACTATTTGGAATTAAATAGTACAAGTTGTGATGGGCTTTATCAAAGCATTTCATCTGCTGCTGAACCAAAGGGACGTTGTTAAAACCATCTGCTGCATTGTGAGCTGTGAGAAACAAATTGCCCAAATATCTTTCTGTTAGGACACAAGGATTTAGGAACGGTTAAAGTCAAAGACTTGTGAGATTTTGTTTTACACTTATGTTAATTACAGCATTTAGAGGTTGTATGTAGTGACATAGATTAGATTTCAAGCATGGGAACATCTTCAAAGATTAGTTAGTTTGAAGCCACCTTTGCCTGGTTGGTTCAGAATTGTGTGCGTGGTTTTAGTGGTACTGCTTCATTTGAAGAAGTTTGCAGTGATGCAATTTCTGTTATGAGTCAGTGTGGCTCTCAAACAACGGGAGGTCTTGCTCGACGTTTTAACGAGTGAAACCTTCAGTTCTTTTGACAACTCTTGAGAATTGTTCACTCAGGGTCACAGCAAACATCCTCATATTTGGTACTTCCACCATGCCTAGTCTCAAGCCTGACAATAACAAAGCTGTTTGTGCTGCAGATTCAGCATCAAATGGTTTATCATCATCCTACAAATCACGAGGAAATCACCTCGTTGTATGGTGTATGTTAATAGGCATGTAACAATAACAAAAGCCTAACAATATCTCAAAGCTGCCAACCTTGCTAGATTTTTAGTCTGATTTTTGAACAAAAGTCCTCTTGTTTGTTATGTTAAATTCAGCGAAGTCCTCTCAAAATACTTGGAGCAGTGGTAGGGTTGAAGAACTATTCAACTAAATGAAATGATTTGAATTGTCTCTATAATGTGTCGGCCCTGCTACGGTTAACATGTGGCTACTGTTAATATGTGACGTCTTCAGTGAATAAATTGAAAGTTTCTAAAAAAAAGATTTCATGATAGTACCTTTGAGTATAAGCAATATAGGTAGCTGCACAGTGGTGAACAGCTGAGTTGGTGTCATTTCATTGTAGATTTGGACAAATCTTAATGGAAACATGAAATCTATCAGTCCACTCTCATCAAACACCTTCCAGTTATTTGTCACACTTTTCCTGAGAGAATTACTATGAAATCAGTAGTAGATCACACCGTGACCGAATTCACGTGTGGCAGGAGCTGGTTATCTAATTGTTTCCGCTGTCTTCCAGCCACACCAAGGTAAATCCTCCAAGAGTAATACGTCCATCGCAGCTTCAACTCCCGACCCTGTCAAGATAAATCATGGAGTAGAAGCGAAGGAGATTGTGCAGCAGAGAAATATTGGTTAGTGTGCAGCTGAGGAATACGTAGCAAATTTCTCTTATCCTTGTTTGATTTTTGTTCATTTAAGGTTAAGAGGCAATGTACCAGTGAAGGCTGCAGACATTCTATGCAGACAGTATTTATTTTCACTACTAGGGTCAGAAAAAACCACATTGAAGATTACACTCGTTCATTCACTTGACTTCAGGGCATATGTATTTCTGTTGCCTCGTCTGAGTGTCTGTCCTGTCTGCTTCTTGTCTTGCAGTAATCGATGTTGAGGAAGTCAAATCCTTCAGTAACTGGCCTCGGATCATGGTCACAGAGGCAGTCCTCATGCAGGTGTGTGTAGGACAGCATCTCCAGGATTGTTATTCTCACATCCTGACTCCTCGGAGAATTGTATGAATTACCAACGAGGGCCCAGGAGCATAGTGCATAAATTGAATTTTTTTGTAAAGGTGACTTTGTAAAGGGTGTTCTTACTTTAAGAAATGATGAACAGTTGTTATGGTGACACTCTTCAGGTCCTTTATATTAAAAATGTGAAGGTTTTTTTTAGGGGGCAAAGTTAGGGCCATATGAATTGTCTTGCTGCCGTTCTTCAGTGTATTGACAAGGAGCAGCCATGCTTGAATGTGATGGATCAGTAGGAAATGCTTCATAAATGTATCCACATTTATCGGCAGGCCAAAATAGTCACATTCAATCATAATATCCGTGCATTATGTTTTTGCCTATGTAACCATTTTCCTTGTACCAAATTTTGCATTGTAAGAACCACCATAACCGGTAGACTCCTAGCTGATCTAAAATGGTTCTGTTGATGCTATTTAGCAATTTTGTTCATTGGTTGAAATCCTCAAACAATTAACAAGTTGTGCCCGGTAAGTCACATGACCTATAGTGGGTACTGAACATCAACAAACCTGGGTGTCCCTCATTGCAAATGTGTCATAAGTGTCATTTACCAAAAATAAAGCTGACGGTTGGTAAAATAAATAATTGGACTACTGATGTGCTGAGTGCTATACGGAAAATTGGCCTTATTTTTGTTAAACAACACTTAAAACACGACATGTTCGATATTTTATATGCACTATAGGTCACGTGACTTAGCCAGCACAACTGGTCTATTATCCATATGCCTGTCACGAATGTGCTCCCATGCACAAAAAGCAACATATTTTTACTGTTTGTACCAATTTTACAAGAGTTTTATGTAATGAGATTCTTTTTTTTTCCCCTGCAGTTCATGGTGGACGTCAAGTTGGACCAAGTCTGGCTTGAGTTCTTGTTGGAGTTGATGACAGGCGATCGCCTCCCTCCAAACCCTTACCCTCGCCTCGTCACTGTGCTCCGACAAGCTGCTCACAGGTAAAAAAAAAAAGAAAAGAGGGTTGTCCGTGGCACTAAGATGAACACACGACATTACAGCTGAAGTTTGTTTCCTTGTAGTAACTTAAAGAAGTTTCTGTTTGTTCGACATACTGAAGATCTAAGTGTTTTGGATGAATGTAGTCGTTTGTTCTGCCAGTATGTGCATGGTGTACATATGTCATGAGTGTTCTCATCAACTGCACATCTTCAATTTTTGTTCCGTCTGTAGAGAACTGAAGTAGATACCTCATGTGTACATACAGGCATCAATGTAAGAACCAGCTCAAACATGAACCAATCCAAGTTTTACTCCATTCATTAGCACTACACTTCCTGGTTCAATGTGACATGACACATGGGTACTCTATTGGCTCCGAGCTGCACCAAGAGAGGGCGCAAGTTTCCAAGCAACTGGGGCTGCATAATGGAGATTAATGGTAGTAACTGCGCATCGCTAGTTCACAAATGACTATGGAACGCAAGTGCAACAGTCACATCGCTACCAACAATGTGAATTCGTTTGACCAATATGGCTCTTTTCAACCGATGAGGGGGTGCTTCTGCTCAGGGCACGTAGGCAACACCCTTATGATTTTAAATGCACTTAAGAATCACATAACTTTAAGCAGAAGAACTTACTGATTGACCTCTTCCTCTCAGAATGCAGCTGTGTTCAGAGACCAACTCTGCTCTGTCCTCCAAACTCCTGCATCCAGAGCAGGTGAGACTAGTGGATCACATCAACACCATCCACGGTGTGACCAGCATAGGGGCATATGGACTGTCCCATTGCTCATTGGCTGGGTTGGATGCAGAGCCATTAGGCTTTGTCAAGATTGCCAAACTGACTGACAAATTAGCCAACAGGGAGGTGGCGGCAAGACGGGGACAGTTTCAGGTATACCAAAGACAATAAAGCAGTGATTTTTATGTCAGGTCAAGTTTACTTAATGTTGATTTTGTTTCAAGAAGTTGACCCTTTTGATAACAAGCAACATGCTGCTTCATCTGCAAGAGTTTAAAATGAGTACAAGCTTCAGAGTATTTCTTTTTATAATTGAAAATGCTTCAAGAATCTCAGGGTATTGAGGAAATATTACTTGCTCAGATTGGTAGGGCTTGCACCCTAGCTGTAGCTTGGTCTTTGACCTCTCACTTGCTTTTATTGATTGACCATTTAAAATGTGATCCAATCTGTTCCTTGCATGATTGAAATAGGAACAAGTCGCATCCCTTTATTGGGAACTTACTGCATGAGCACACAGATTTATGTATCTGGCACAAGACACGCTGAGCATGCGTGACCAATGTCTGTTTGAGTGAAGAGTCTCATTCCAGCCTGTCTCCTCTTGGCCAATGATCTGTGTAGAGTACCGAAGTGTGACGGAACCAGGCAGTGCAGACGACTAGAGTGTGTGCGCATATTGGTTCATGTGCTGGTTCTGCTAGTGAGGTTAGCCGTGGACATTTCTGTTGATTTCAATCAGTGATATGCTGGTAAACACAATTTTTTCTCAGATCGCGGTTAGCCAAGCAATTGGAAAGAACTGTGCCTTCTATGGCCGTCTGGTACCCTACATCAACATACTACATCTCTATGACCATTACTACATCAGAGGGAACATTGGTGCAGATGGGGATGCCATCCAGCTGTATGCCAAACTAGGTCAGTTACAGATCCAGCAATTTTTTGAAGATGTTTCTTGTGAAATGTAGACACAACCTTTGTAATTAGCTGATGTTACTCCTGACCTGGTTCTTATAAGACTAACAATTTGAGTAGGACAGAAGAAATAAGAAGTTCTTCTTCCCAAAGTCAAATGCCATTGGTGGTTGGTGTGCAGGAGGGTTGGTCTTAGCAGAAACTAGTGGAAGTAGACCACTGAGGTCGATGTAAATTGTTTTCCCATATTGTTCCTAAGATAAGTAGGACAGAGCATACTGTCCAAAACATTGAGTCCTGTCTGCTTCTTTTCAGAACCATACATACGCACAAAAGAGAGATTTTACATAGTTGTACCTCAGACCAACCACTTACCTTGCTCCCTTCAACATGAAAAATTTCAATGCCCGAGATTGGTTCCAGTTGCTGTCTGTAAGAGTCCAAAATGAGACAGGGGGACCTGGAACCAGTCTCACTTTGGTCATCTTGTTTGGCTTTAAAACTCTACATTTCTAGTGAAGCCTTGATTCCTAAACGTAAACTAGACGAACATCATATGTGATAGATATGGCAAAGAATCCTGATAAAGATCCT